AGCATAAAAATCGGTTCCGTAATATATATATATATATATATATATATATATATATATATATATATATATATATATATATATATATATATATATATATATATATATATATATATATATATATATATATATATATATTTATATATAATTTATTCATAAATTTATGTGTTAGCCTGTAATATTCAGCTTAAAATGGATACTGTCAGAAATAGGAAAATAAAATCAAAGGAACTTTAGCATGAATTATCATTATCTTTGATGGACAGTCTATTTCATGGTAAAGTTGCGCATCATACAAAGCAACAGATGTGTGCCATCATGAAATGCACGCATAACAAGTTAACTATTCGTGTATTACCGGTTCAACAGCAGTCAAATGGGGCAGATTGTGGTGTCTTTGCTATTTCTTTTATTTATCATATTATTAGCACAAAAACCCTGCCAATATAACATTCTTTATACCAGAGATGAGGGCACACATGTTGCAATGCATTCTGGTTAACGAAGTTTTTTCTTTCCCTCAACTGTTAGCAGATAGCAAATATTACATTCAAAAGGATATCTGTATAGAACTCTTGCTGTTCTAGAATGCTATGGAATTCTGCGGAAAATCAACTGAAAGATAAACAAATGGCGCAGTGTAATTGCTGTCAACAGTGGTTCCACAGAATGTGTGAAAACATTCCAGATTTTTTCTTTTCTAAAAAGAACCGTAGAACACCATGGTATTGTTATTGTTGTAGACAAGCAGTTTGATAATCACTTAATTAAGTATTGAAGTAAATATCTTAACAATGATGATTTAATAAATTATAGCATTTTTTAAATATGGTTTTACATGTCAGACTAATATAAAGTGGGGTATGTTTTTCATTTAATAATAATCCTTCCCCATCCTGCGTTTTTACTGAAAATTTGAGATGCTTTTGTTTGTTATGTTTGAGAATAGAGTTTTGTAACGTTTAATTAATTAATTCTCGTCATTATATTGTATCTGTTTCTGAGTGCTCTCAATCTTTTAAATGTTCTGTTGATTGTTATCATGCTCTATAGGCTTCATCTTCAGTCTTGTTTAAAACAAAAAAAAAACATGTTTAAATATTTATTACTATTATAATTAGAAACTTTGGTTAAAAACCTTTAAAGATTTAAAGGTTTTTATTGTTTTTATTGTTTGTTTTTTGTAATTTTTTTAAAATTTCTTTAGTTCTGCCATTCTACTAATTTGTCAAAGTTTTCCTACTGTGGAAATATGATTTTAATTTAGTAAATTTTGATGATTTCAAATTTACTTTATTAATCATAAGCCAAGTTTATGAAAAGAGCTTGATTCAACGCAAGGTAATACTTTTGTTTTTTGGTAACATTAAGAAACTTGTTAATGGCCAGGTGAATAAAAATGAGCAATTGCTTTTTTTACTCAGTAGTTGGTCAGCTTTATGTGAATTAAAACTTCAGCAGTTTTCCTCATATTTTTATTCACGTAAAATTAATCAATTTACTCAGTAATTGTTCAGCTTTACGTGAATAAAAACTTAAGCAAAATTTTTGCAGTTTTTATTCACATAAAGCTGACCAATTACTGAGTAAAAGAAATTGCTCTTTACTATTCACCTAGCCTAATGAAAATAATAATTTTTGTTACAATATTGTTAATAATTGTAAGTGATTTGGTTTTTATGGCGGTTTTTTGGTTTTTAAACCAAATTATTTACTATAAAACCAAATCACTTACTTATAGTAAGTGATTTGATTTTATAGTAAGTGATTTGGTTTTATTTTTTTTAACAAAGTTTAAAATAAATTTTCTCTTTTATCAACAGTACAATCAAATGTATAACGTGAGTTTAATCTCTGACTTGTTCGATTTTGCTAATGAAAGACATTTTATATATTGCAATATAAAGCAAATATCAAAAATACAAATCATGTAATAGATGTCAAAAGTACATCTATTTAAACATAGCTATCAAAAGAGCAAACTATGCGATAAAAGTACAGCCATCAAAAATACAAATCAAAATAGAAGTCAAAAGTACAGCTATTAAAAATAAAAATCATATAATAGCAGCCAAAAGTACAGCCATCAAAAGTACAAATCATGTAATAGAAGTCAAAAGTACAGCTATTAAAAATATAAATGATATAATAGAAGCCAAAAGTACAGCTTAAAAAAATACAAATCATGTAATAGAAGCCAAAAGTTCAGCTATTAAATGTTCAAATTATATAATAGAAGTCAAAAGTACAGCTATTAAAAATACAAATCATATAATAGAAGTCAAAAGTACAGCTATTAAATGTTCAAATTATATAATAGAAGTCAAAAGTACAGCTATTAAAAATACAAATCATGTAATAGAAGTCAAAAGTACAGCTATTAAATGTTCAAATTATATAATAGAAGTCAAAAGTACAGCCATCAAAAGTACAAATCATGTAATAGAAGTCAAAAGTACAGCTATTTAAAAATACAAATCATGTAATAGAAGCCAAAAGTACAGCTGTTAAATATTCAAATCATATAATAGAAGCCATAAGTACAGCCATCCAAAATACAAATCATGTAATAGAAGTCAAAAGTACAGCTGTTAAAAGTACAAATTATGAAATAGAAGCCAAAAGTACAGCTATTTAAAAATACAAATCATGTAATAGAAGCCAAAAGTACAGCTGTTAAATATTCAAATCATATAATAGAAGCCATAAGTACAGCCATCCAAAATACAAATCATGTAATTAGGTACGCGCACTGAAATTTTTAAATTAATCATATAGTGCAATGTTATATATCATTAGAAAGGCCTTTAATACAGTATTTTAAAGGTGAAAAAATTATTAAAAACGAACAATTCTAAAAAAAGTTATAACGTTTTTAGTACCAAATTTAAGATATATGGAATTGTTGAAGAAACTGTGGTCAAAATAATTATTTTTTTCACTTAAATTATTATAACTTTGTCAATTTTTATCCAAATATCTATATCTTGGTATCAAAAGATAGGTGCACTAATGGGCTACAAGTTCATATAGGTGCCTGGACGTAGGGTGTATCTTGGGAGCCAGAGGGGGTAATGAAACACCATCTAACCCTTAAGAAAATACAAGTTTTTGTCAAAAATAAGCACTTTTTTAATGTAATTGTTAGATTTATGCATAAAATATTGCCATAACTTGATTCCAGAACACTGCCAAACAAAATAAGGTGATCTTAGAGTTGGCCGTAGATGTGGTTATGATGTTATAACACCCTAATACAATAATCATACATTCTAATAAATAATTTAATCTTTATTACAGTAATTAAATATTTTGTTAAAAAGTAAAAATATATTTTTTTACTATACAACATACATTAGTGATGTGCACACTAACTTTAGGGAAGGGCGTATGTCGCACCGCCCCTAAATTTTGTTTACATATCATGATGATATGTAAACAAAGATTAATGTTTTAAAACTTATAACTTTTTTAAATAACAAAACAATAATGATAAGTTTAAAAACCTTAATCTTTGTTTACTTCATGATGATGTAAACAAACTTTGTTATTATCATGAAAAAGAAATTAACTTACTTTTTGAAGTCTTCTTTGTTATGACTTTTACCATTTTTTATTTATTAAAATATTCTAATATTAAAAATTAAATAATACAATGTAGTAAGAATTTTTTTGTTTACCATTCGCCACCCCCTCTATCCTCCCCGTATTTCTCTTACCGATAAAACAAAAACAAAAACAAAAAAAACCGAATTTAGGTACCAAAAGTCCTACACTTCTTATACTATCTGCTCCCTAATATTTTTGGCTGAAATTTGGCATGTACAAAGAAAATGCATGCAAAAAAGTTCCTGAATAACAAAAAAAGCGGAAACTTCATTCCTTCGATAAGAACTTAATGTGAGAACATCAATGAAATTTTTACGAAAGTTTTTAGCAAAACTAACCATAAAAAAGTTTAGTGGTTATAAATAAAAGTACTATAAAAATCAAGCCTAACCTTTCTTCTTTCCAAATATACTTTTTGTTTATATATGTTTCTAAAAAAAAACACCACTAAAAACGTTAGTCTAACCCTACTTCAAAAAAGCAGTATATTTAAAAAAGCACCTCGTTACATATCTGCTCCCTAATATTTTTCGTTGAAATTTGGCACATAAATAGAAAATACATGTATAAAGGTGGCTGAACAATCAAAAAAGCGGAAACTTCATGCCTTCGACTACAAATTTATGTGAAAACATCAACCAAATATTCAGGAGCAAAATAATCCGTTAAAAAGTTTAGTAACCATACATAAAAGTTTAAAAAAAATAAAGATCAGCTTCTCTTCTTTCCAAAAAGTATCTATGTGTATATATGTTTCTAAAAAGAAACTCCACAAAGCTACGTCTACCCCACGCTGCCTAAAAAAAAGTGAAAAAAACGAGTCACAAGATTTTATCACAAAAATCGGTTCAGTAAATGACGTAAATGCGCGTACCTACATGTAATAGAAGTCAAAAGTACAGCCGTCAAAAGTACAAATCATGAAATAGAAGCCAAAAGTACAGCTATTAAAAATATAAATAATATAATAGAAGCCAAAAGTACAGCTATTAAAAATATAAATAATATAATTTTCTATATGACTTGTCGCTGTTTTATATAACATATAAATATCGCTATATTATAGCGATATCTATGAGATATCAACAATTAAAATAATGCGATAGAATTCGATATTACAACATGAGTTATATCCCTGTCATCTAATATATATCGCTAATCATAAATTCTATCTCGCCAAAAGTACAGAAACTATAATTACGGCAATCGTTTATAATTTGAAAACGAGGCGTACTTTTGACTTCTATTATATATTGCTTACCCTAATATATTTCATATAAAAATATTTATCTATACATGCATTTAAACATTTTTAAAATTTAAAATAAATCAAATGATCACAATTTGAATTTAATAATAAATTAATAAATAAAAATAAAAATTAAAACTAAGATATTGAAATGAAAATTTATATAAACACTAAAGTGGCCAAAATAAATACACCATAACCACAAAATTAACAAACCATAACAAAGAAAAAATTACAAAACACAGGTGCACACTATTTTTTTTTAACAATCCTTTAGCTTTTAAGCATTTGTTGATCTGTTTTGGCATGGAATTCTTCAAATTTTGATTAGTATCTTATGGGACATAACTAAGTAACTTTGTTTTTTCATTTAGCTGGTCCGTATCTTTTAATTCAATTTTATCAAGATTGTGGTTTAACCAAGAACACAAATTCTCTATGTAATTGAAATTATACTATTGTCAGTGTTTTAATGAGAGTTTAAAACACAAATACGTGCAACAAAAACGTTTTGTTGCACGTATTTGTGTTTTAAACTCATTTAGAAATTTTGTTATGATTTTATGTTTTTTTATATTATTAGTTTTTCTTGTCATTTCAATTGTTTAATTAATTTATAGCTGAAATGTTGTAGTTAGATATTTATTTTTATTTCATTTAAACAAATTTTTCAAATATTATAATAATTTAAACAAAAATTCTTAAATAACTACTAATAATTTGTAAATAAGTTTTACTCAAAGACAAATAAAATTTTGAAAGAAGTTTAAAATAGAGTGGATTGTTAATTTGGCTATTATAATTATTTTATCTTATCAGATATGCTTATAAAAATAAGAAGACAATTAGTACATTAAATAATATTTTTATGAATATTTATAATTGTTTGAAAGAAAATATGATGCTCATTAATTCACTTTTTTATGTTTAAAAAGAAGCAAATAATCATTGATTTATCAAAGTTTAATAATAAAAAAAAAATGTGCTGGATGATGTTAATGTATATACAATACTATATATATATATATATATATATATATATATATATATATATATATATATATATATATATATATATATATATATATATATATATATATATATATATATATATATATAATATATATATATTAAATATATATATATATATATATATATATATATATATATATACATATATATATATATATATATATATATATATATATATATTTTATATATATATATATATATATATATATATATATATATATATATATATATATATATATATATATATATATATATATATATATATATATATATATGTATATATATATATATATATATATATTTTTTTTAAAGGACTTTTGGAAATTTTTTTATGATGTTTAAAGCAATGACCTCATAAACTGTTTTTAACAGGACGAAACTGTTTTCCACTATAATGTAATGGGATCAAATTTTTTTTTTTTTCTCTTACAGTCAGAGTTTTTAAACTTAAATTGTTGATTTTGTTTGTTTATCTTATGTTTGCATATATATATATATATATATATATATATATATATATATATATATATATATATATATATATATATATATATATATATTTAATATAAGTTTTTATAATTTAGAAAAATTAGGCTTTAATCTCTTTTCTACAACTCCTATGAGATCCTAGAACATCAGAGATATCATTTGTTGTATAACAACTGATATCTCTGTTGTACTAGGAGTGCATATATTTGCTTAAACTAATGCATTTCCAGTAAGTAATGTTGCTAAGATTTTCACCAGTACTGTAACAAAGCATCGACTTGATTTTGTTGCATTTGGTTGGGGACCTGAGATAAATTTATATCAAGACTGAGTCAGTATTGTTATCAAATTTGAGTCAGCAAATAAATTTAAAAAGGATCTTAGATAAAATCAACCTTAAAACAGGTATTATATAAATAGTTGTTTGTAGTATTTTATACAAACAGTATCATTTTTTTGATTTTTTCAAATTTTCTAGATTTAATCATTAAAAGTTTAATAACCTGCAGAACTGAGAAACTTTTAACTGAGAAAAGTATTTTTTTTAGGGAAATAATTTTGCAATAAAAAACTACTTTCTGGAAAATTTGGTAGTTGTGGTAGTGTAGTGCTATTCAGATTCCACTAAAATGGTGGATCTTCTTCCATGTTAAATTTTTTTGATTTTTTGAATTCTTCACTTGGTTATTCTTTAGGCGCTCTTCTAAAACTTACATCATTGTTGTATTTTTTCATTTTACTTCTGAGACTCTGCTTCACATCATCTTTACAAGAAACTAAAGCAATTGTTTATTCAAGTCATGAATTGTAGGTTGCAGTGTTCAAAAATACCTCCAGCTGAAGATTATCATAAAAATAATGAATATAATTATTTGCATTGTTCCCAATTTACTAAATCTCATATCTTTTTCTCAGAAGTTAGGCTCTAAAGACTTTTGGAAAATCTGCAGCAAAATCATGAACAAAGGTAAGTCTGGAATTCCAACTTTACTTCATGGAACTGATCTTATTATCTCTTTCATAGATAAGGCAGAACTTTTCTTCTAATTCAACTCTTGAATCTTATGGTCATACTCTCCCTGCCATTCTAGTTAACCAATTGTTGGATTACTTACTCCAGCTTTCAGTTTTCAGCTAAAGTCATATCTCAATTAAACTCTTCTATGGCTTGTGATCCAGATAACGTTCCTGTCATAGTGTTCTCTTTAATTCTCTCTCTCTTCATAGTGTTGTCAAAAGTGTTCTCTTTAATTCTCTCTTTAATTCTCTCTAAACTTAATAAGTCCTTGACTAAATCTTGTTTTTCCTGTCTTCTGGAAAATGACAATTTGGTTTCAATTTTTAAAAACTTTGGAGAACATTCTGACCCCTCTAACTATCACCCAATCAGTTTTCTCTCTATTATTAGCAAGGTCTTTGAAAATTTGATCAACAAATTTCTAAGATTCTTTGTTAGAAATTTGTTAATCACTTTGATTAACAAATTTCTACTGAAATAACTTATTGTCAGACAACCAATATGGTTTTTAATATATATATATATATATATATATATATATATATATATATATATATATATATATATATATATATATATATATATATATATATATTTAGTTTAAACTATTTGGCAACAAAAAAAACTAAGTTTAACAAAGCTTTAAGAAGAAAAAAATTTAGCAACAAATTTTTTACTGCTTTTATTTATTTTTTTTTTTTTTTATAGTTTTTATTTTCAGAGTTTAATACAAGTAAAAGAATAAAACAGATTTAAGTGATACATATTTAACAAAAATAAAAATAATGTTCTTGTAAAACATTATTTTTATTATATCTTTGTTAAAAAAAGCAAAATATAGGTAAAACTTTTACCTATATTTTGCTTTTTTTTAACAAAGCTCTTTTTAATCATACATAACAATCTAGTATTTAACTGATTTCCTACTTTTTAGCCAAGCAAAGTTTATGAATGCAATCAAATAGAAAATTTGTGTTTAAGAATGGTTCAGATAATGCTCGTATTAACTACCTTGAAGTGATTATTCCTGAGGTTGATTTTTTTTTTTACTTTTTAATAATATTTTATTTAATAACAAGTTTTTTAACACCAAGTAATCAAATTACTGTCATTATAAGTTGTTTTATGGCCTCTAATTACATAATATATAAAACATTTGACAATCAAAGTCTTATAAGAATATTGAATTAAATATTGAATTATTTTTATACTACTACTTATATCTATATTATTATAACTATTACCAACTAATAATAAGAAATAAAGTGTTTTTACTTTTCTTTTCTTTTAATTTTCTTTGTTTTTTCATAGTAAGTTTTATCTGTTTATGATTGCAATAGTTTTAGTCCGTTACTAGACTTTATTTTTATTAAAGTCAGCTAGAATTTTTTTGATTGGAATACATTTTGCATGAATCCAAAGGGAGCAATAGACGCATTGGATGGCTCTATGATTATTTTTTATTTTTTTGTAGCAAAATTTGCAATGGTGAAAAATTTTATGTTTAGAAAATTTTATATTTAGAATAATTAAACAATAAAAAGTAAATTAATAAATAGCTTCAGTAATCAGTAATAATAAACAAACTAGTTAGTTGATATCTATATATATTATCAAATTAGTAGATAAAAAGTATAGATTTATACTATTAATTAATAACAACGATAAAGTAATAAACAATAGATCATATTAAAATAAAAACAATCCTCAATAACAGGGATGGCACTTTTACTTATTTTAATGTAAAAACGCGATTTACTTCTAAGCGTAAATTACTTACATAACTCATATTAAAATATTTAATTCACTTACATTTAAAAGTAATTTTTTTTTATTACATAAATTATATTACAAGTAAAACTTAATTACATAAATTTAATTACTTAAATTTGTAACTGTTACTTAAAAAAGTAATTTATTTTTACAAGTAACAATAAATTACTTTAAAGGTTGTTTACTTTTTCTTGAAAAAGTAAATTACTTTTTCAGGTAAATCATTAAAAAGTAATTTACTTTGAAAAGTAATTTCGATTTTACTTACTCGCAAAAGTAATTTACTTTTTATATGTAAAAAAAATTCTTTTCTGAGAACTAAGTAACTAATTAGCGAAGGCAACTTACATAAAAATAATTTGAAAAAAAAAAAGATTTACTATTAAAAATAAAAGTTAAGTTTTTCTTTCAAATACTTATTTTACTTAGTAAGTAAGCAAAATGTAAATTAAGTTATTTACTTCTTCAAAAAACAAAGCCATTTTAAAACATTTTTTAAGGTAGGTAGTTTATTAAAAAGCATTAGTTAATTGGTACATCTGGGTTATACTACTTGGAATTATTCAGATGTATGTGGGTCATTTTTGGCGGGGGAATTTCAAATTGTACAAGTAGGGGCTATTATAGTTATTAGGATGGATTTGTAAAAGTAGGACAGCGACGGCAAGGGTCCTTTAGCTATAAGGAGCAAAATTATTTTTTCGTTTAGACCAAAAGTAGATTATTGGTCCTAATGAAACATTTAAATGTGGTCAGGGGAAGGGCATAGTTTTAATTTTTTTGTTACTTTTTAAATTATTTTTCAAGTGCCTCCAAGAAGTCTCTACGGTACAGAACCCAGCGTAAAAGCATTTAACGTCGCTCCTCTTTTCTAACTGATGTCGCAAAACTCACCTATTTTGTGGTAAGCCTTTAACCTTTATGATCAAATGATTATTATGCATTATTTATTTGGTATCGGGGGGGGGGGAGAGGTGAGTGATTTGGGAGAGATAAACTAAATGCTATAAAACGATATCTGTTAAGGGCAAGGAAAGCCGGTTCACCATAAACTAAAAGATCTGTGCACCACAAATTATGGAGCACACAGCTTTTATTATTACTTGGGGACCTAAGTTACTGAAAAGAAGGTTTATGGCAACAGCCTTCTTTTCAGTTGCTTTGGTGGCCAAGCCGCTCAAGTAAAATTCTAACATATTCGAATAAAATAGTGTCTTTAAAATAACTTGTTATTTTTTTAAGAATTTCCTTTAAAATTTAACGTGAAGATGGGCAGTAGACTGTCCGCCATCAGTAGCTTATGTGGCTACAATGATGTCTTTTCAGTAGTTAATGTTGCTTCAATGGTGCTTCTATTTTAAAACGCAGTTTCAATGACATTAAAAGAAACCGCACTAATACTTTCTTCAATAGCGTTTCTTTTAAGTATGCAACTGTAGAAAAAATTATATTTAGCATGGTTTTTACATGTGTTTACAAAAGAATGGCAACTTTAACTTAAAATGAATGCATTTACAATTACTTTAAAAAGAACCATGCTAAAACATTCTTTTTCCAAAGGCGTGCTTTTTTTAAATTTTCTTATTATCATTAAATTAATGTTTATTTGCTGTTTTTAAAGTTTTAAAAAAAATTTGCAGAAATATATAAAATTTAATAGATTTTATAGAACTATTATGTTGATTATAGTTTTGATTTTTTACTGTGCGTTTAACAACAACCAATAATATAATATTTTTTTATTAAATACTTAATATTATAAATATAATAATAGCATATCAGGTATTTGATAGTAACTTATTAAATTATAAATTTAATAACTTATTAAATGCTTAATACTATATTATTATTTTTAAATATTTAAAAAATAAAAATGTCAAAATAACTTTTATTTTATTTTTATATAGTTCCCTTTTTTTTAAAAATTTTATTAAGTTTATATCTTTTTTTTATAATTTAACAAACTAAATTGAGAAAATTCACTATTTTGTATTAATAGGTAACAGTTTACAGTGAAAAGGTTATTGCATATTAGTTATCATTAATTTGCGCACACTTTTCAAATGTGTGAAAAATTGTTTTAAATTAATAAAAAATTGATAAAAATCGATAAGTATCTTTGATATATCTAATTATTATATATCTTATTAACTAGAATAAAATTTATTTGAAAATAAAACTCCCTTATAGTTAAATAAAAAAATTATTTAAATTAAAAAAAAAAATTAAAGAAGTTAAAATGAAAATGACTTGTTCTGGCCGACACACGGGTTCAAAGTGGAGGTGCGCAACCATCTATTAATGAAAAAAGTCCTCTATATCTTGAATTTCTCTTAAATAAAAAAAAATATATGAAAAAAATTTTTAAAAAAGTGTGTATGTTGGAGGGGGATAGGGGGGTAGGGGGTTAGTGGATATTTGACATACCTCTTAAAAAAGACGTTCGTCAATAAATAAAGAAACAAACGTCAACGTTTATTAAAAAAAAACGATTTTTCACGCCCAAAATACATGCTTTTATAAGTAAATAAAGTTATTTTATATTCTTGTATAATTCACATTTAAAAGCTAAATGTAAATGTGTAAAAGCTAGTATTTGCAAAAAGTTTTGAACTTATTCATAAATTAAAGTAACTTTAAAAAAATCTTTCTAAAACTAATGCTTTAAAAATTTTTTAGGAAGTTATGGAAAATATTTTCAAACGTTTAAATTTATCATGAAAAATACATGTTTGCATAAAAAAAATTTTTATATAACATTTTTTATTAATTTACACATGTGTTTATGTAAACAATCATTAAAAAAACAATTAATTATATAATTTTATTTTAAAACCTTCGCGTAAAGTAAAAACTCTAGAAAAGATCAACAATTAAAAGTTATTCATAATGTAACACTTTTTATTGCATTTAAATTGTTAAAACATCAAAATAGCCATTTTCAAGTTGTAAAGAAAAAAAACTATTAGTGTAGTCAGTTACAGAGTGCGATAGCACGCCATTCCTGTTCAAGCCTGCATACACCTAACCTGATATTTATATGACTTTAAGGAAGAGCTGAAGCCTTTACAAATTTATTAAATTTGTTTATGAAATTATTATTTTATAGTTCTCAGTCTTAGTTATTAACTGTAGTAGTTTTAAACCAAACTTATATTGGTTTCATCGCTATGCAAAAGTGATAGGTGAAAAAGAATGTCAAAAGAAATAGGCAAAACATGTTTTTTTGGAGTTCAAGGCTGAAGTATTTTTAATTCTTATTATTAAGTTATATACTTGTGTCAACCAAAAAGGGTTAACTTGTTTTTCATGAAATTACACAGTGGGCATGGATTGCCCAGGGACATCTTTTGGACGTCTTATGGATGTCAGATAAATGTCTTACGGGCATCCGATGGATGTCCCCTGGACAACACGTTTCCACTGGGTAAGAACAATATAGATTTGTTTATCAAAAGTTAATAAAAAAATTTTAATGTCATTGATTGCTCAAACATCAATCAATGTTTGATTGATGTTTGTTGTTATTGATTGATGTTTGTTGTCATTGATTGATGTTAGTTGTCATTTATTAATGCTTGATGTTATTGATTGATATTTGATGTCATTGATTGATGTTTGTTGTCATTGATTGATGTTTATTGTCATTTATTATTGTTTAATGTTATTGATTGATATTTGTTGTTGTTGATTGATGTTTGTTGCCATTGATTGATGTTTGTTGTCATTAATTAGTGTTTTTGTCATTTATTGATGTTTTTGTCATTGATGTATGAATTTCATTGATTGATATTTGTTATTGATTTCTTTTGAGAAATTAAAGTTGTACTTAAATTCTTTTAAATTTTTTTGTAATAATTTATTCAAATTTTATCATTTTTTAGGTAAACATACCTCATCATGAAATGTTTACCTGGCCTTCAGCACCTTTTCTTGCACAGTACTTGTTTAATAATCAATCAATGTTAGAAAACAAGACAGTGCTCGAGGTATTAGTTTTTTGATCAAAATTTTTTTATTTATTTTTAAGATATTAAATTTTGTATAAAGATAAAACCTATATTATTATTTTTATCAAATTTAAGAATGTAGTTTTTATTTTGTATGAAGATAAAGAATTATTATTCATGAATGTTTGTTTGATTTTCTTTTGATCGTTGTTTGATTTTCACCCATTTAAAAAATGCCACCATATCATAGCAAGTGAAGCCAGTATTATGAGATTCTTAATTTACCAGTGCAAGAAAACAAAAGATTTAATATGTTATTTGAGACAAGTATTTTTAGCAAAGTCATTATTGTGCGTTTACTGTAATTTTTTTGACTTCATGTGGACTAAAGTTTGTTTCTTTATGTTGAAGAAAGTTTGTTACTTTAAGTTGAAGAAAGTTTGTTTCTTTATGTTGAACAAAGTTTGTTTCTTTATGTTGAACAAAGTTTGTTTCTTTAAGTTAAATAAAGTTTGTTTCTTTATGTTGAACAAAGTTTATTTCTTTATGTGGAACAAAGTTTGTTTCTTTATGTTGAATAAAGTTTGTTTCTTTATTTTAAACAAAAATTTTATCATAGTTAAGCATTTACAAAATTTCTTACAAATAGTAAAATTTTAAAAATAAAATGAAGTTAAAATAATTATTTTATTGAATAAATACTTCTAAGGTTTTTTCTTTAAGCGAATCAGTAAATAAATTAAGAGAGCATAACTATTTTATTCTATATAAAGTCAAGGGAAATCAGATAAAAGCTAATTTTTAACATGATCATTCTAATGCACTATTTTAGTGCATTAAATATTTTCTAATTTATAAAAAAATTAAACAGAAATTTTTTGTATACACCTTTTTATTGTTAGTTTTTTTATCTGTTTAAATTGTTAATTTTATGTATTTTGTGTAGCTTGGGTGTGGAACTGCTCTTGTTGGTATTGTTGCTGCTAAACTTTGTTCACATGTTTTTTTATCAGATAATGGTCTGTATGAAAGTTCTTTTCTTTGTTGCCGAAAAAGTTGTTCATATAATAATGTAGCTAATGTGACAGTAGTTCCTATAACTTGGGGTCGATTTTCACTTGAGCTTTTAAAATTAGCTTCTGTTGATATTATACTTGGATCAGATTCTTTTTATAATAAAAACGGTAACAATTTAAGTTTTGATGTTAATAGTTTTATTTTTTGTTCTTATGCATTTACAGTCATATTTTTAACTAAAAAAAATTTACAATTTTTAGAATTATTTTTAATATTTTAGATTTTGAAGATATTTTATATACAGTATCATACTTTTTAAATAAAAATCCAAATGCAGTATTTTGGACCAGTTATCAATTAAGAAGGTAAGTTTCAAAAAGTAGACCAGTTATCAAGTGTCAACATTAGGTTAGCACAAAAATTTTAATCAATCTGTGACAAATAGATAAATGTGCAAACTTTGAGCACAAAATTGACAGAAAAACAAACAGCGAGTTCACCAACTTTTTTTTCAAACCTCGATGTTTGCCTAAAATTTTGAAAAACAAAGGTTTTCTAATTATATTTTAATTATTTTCATAAATAAAATATTTTGTCTGTTTTTATTTAAATTGTTTTGTTTACAATTTAAATAAAAGTTTTGCATTTTAAATTTAAATAGAATATTTGTTTTGCCATTTTGTTTTAATTATTTTATTAGAAATTAAAAAAAAACAACTGGTTTTTCCTTTTTTTAATTATATTTAATTTAAAATTTAATTAAAATAATCCTGTTTTTATTTTAATAATTTTATTAAGAATTAAACAAAATTTTATTTTTTATGTTTTTATTTTAACTATTTTAACAATTAAAAGTTTTTTTTTTATGGTAAACACATTTTTAAACATAGTTTTTTATGGCAAACACGTTTTTAAACATAGTTTTTTTATGGCAAACACGTTTTTAAACATAGTTTTTTATGGCAAACACGTTTTTAAACATTGTTTTTTATAGCAAACACGTTTTTAAACATAGTTTTTTGTGGCAAACACGTTTTTAAACATAATTTACAAATAATTTTATGGATATGAAATTAAAAAATTAGTTATGTAGTTATTTGAATAAAATGTTGCTTAAATTTTTAATTGTTAAAAAATATTACAAATTTGTTTCTTAAAAAAATATGTTTAAAATTTTTTGTTAAAAATCATTTTTTTATCATTTGTAAAAATTTGTTTGCAACAAAAGAGCATGTTCAAAAGTTCAATGCATTGAGCTCCAGCAATGACATATTGATTTTTAATGTGGTGGAAGAATGTGCTCTATTCATTTCCAAGAAATTCCGAAGGCATCTAATATCAAGATAGATTGATCCAAGTTTAAGTTTTTTTTAGTTTTCCCAAGTATTTAGTTTCATAATTTTCAATTATTCAGATTTTTAAATAAAACTCTTTATAATATTTATTTCTTATTTTATTATCTTATTTATCATAGATCTAATTTTTTTAATGTTGAACTGTTTGAGTCTGTCATGGGTTTGTGAACATGTAGAAATAGTAGGTGGTTCAGGCTTGAACAGGAATGGAGTGCGATCGAGCGCTATTGCTGACCATGCAAATGATTTTCTTTTTTGACAACTTGACCACAACTGTTTAGATGTTTAAATGATTTTTAAACATTTTACAAATGAGCTGAAAAAAGAAACCCTATACTTAAACTACAACTAGCTAACTTTAACTTAAACTATGGAGTAAATTTAAAAAAATCATAATGAAAAAAGAAAAAACAATTACTTACAAAAAAGAAAATATATAAGCACTAAAATAAAACTCAAAAAATTCAAACTCAAAGCAAAAATTACTGTTTACGTTTTTAATTGCGTTTTTAATTAACATTTTTACATATTGTTTTATAGTGTTTGGAATAATAATACATATGTTGAATGCTCCAATATGGACCTTTTCAATATCTTTTAACATGTTCAAAGTTTCAAACTATCTTAATATTTTGGAAATCATCAAACTGTATTGATATTTTGGAAAGTAAGAGTTTTTCCATCATTGTATTTTGCACGAGATTGAAAGTAAAGAAAAGTTTGTTCAAAGTTTGATTGCAAAGTTCTGTTTGTTTAATATTTAAAAACAAAGATTCAATTACTATTATACATCTATCATGCGTGCTTCCATATTGTTGTATAATATTAAGAGCAAAAAAAAAAAATTTCTAAGCAAAGGAGCCAGAAGCTACAGCTTTTTATGTTTTTAAATAGCCATGGCACTTCTAACCCCCTCTGGCCTCTGTTGAGTTCATTTGTTTAAAGTTTAGTTATAAGTATAATTTGAAGTCATTTGTCGTTTTCTTTCTTACAGTTTTTCAGAGAGAATTAACAGATTTGTGTCCTAAATATAAACTAAATACTAAACTAATAATAGTAAACAAATAAGCAATCAAAAAGGTTGTTGTTGTTGAGCTGGGTGAAATGTAGTGATATCAATTTGCATCAGTAATCAGTTTTGCTAATTATTAATATAAGTCACATGCGTTTTTACAGCATTGTTATTGTTACATTTTATATATATAAAGATTTTTTGTAAAGATGTTTATTGCCAACTAAAGTCACAAGTTCTTTTTTTACTTTTTAAGTCCATTCTCATGATTATGTATAAATAGTAAAATATGCCAAAATAGTTTATGCAACAGATGGATTCATTTTTGGAATCAAAGATGATACTAGTCTATGCATTTTGAGAAGAAAGTATATGTAGTAAATTCAATTATATTCAGTACACCTTTTAAAATTTTTAATCAACATCATTAACAAAATGCAAAAGTTGTTCATAGAATTTCAAGGATAGAAAATTAGTGAAAAGTGTGGGTGAAACCTAAGCATATGACGCCAAGCACACTACAGTGGATGAAAGGAAGTTTAGTGTTGCTCAGCCCTCGCAATTAGGAAAAATAAGGTCGGCAATAATTTGCCGACCCTAATCTGTGTGAGGTCGGCATCAGGTTGGGAAAAAAGGTTTAAAAGAAAGGTTTGACCATAAAACATAGAAATGAGTTCAGCAATTTTTCGCTGACTTCAAACACTCGGTAATAGGGTTGGCAATGCCGACGCTAATTCAGAGGGTTGGTTTAGCCTAAATGTGTAAGTTTATATTAACTTGCTTAAGTTATCATGGTGTTTCTACCATATGCAGCATTGTCATGAAAAAAACAATCAAGATGAAAATTATGGTAAAATCAAACCATCCAATACAAACCTTCTGTAACCTGATAAAGCTGGTAACAAAGCTTTAAGCCTACAAAGCTTGTAGATGATAGCAAGGCTGACAACAGTAGAAGAACCAGTAATCAAATTCTATCAACAAGCAGGCAGAATAAATTACAGTCTGTTTGATTCACTAACTAAGTGTGCGATCAAAAGTATCAAGCATATGGATAAAAAACCTCAAAACATTATACTTGAAGATAACATTAAATGATACCATACCATTAGATAAGAAAAGGTGACACAATGCTAAAGATAACAGTAGGTGATACCATACCAGTTTGCTTTTAAATTGCACCTTTTTGCATTTAAGTTTTAGGCATTCATTTGGCATTAAATTTTTAACATTTTACACAAAACTAAAACATAAAGTTTTAGTTTTGTGTGAAAATGAAAAAATACCAAATTAAAATGAAAAAATGACAAATTAACTTGAAAAAACACCAAATTAAAGTGAAAAATGTCCAATTTAAATGAAAAAAATGACAAATTAAATGTGAAAAAATGCCAAATTAAAGTGAAAAATGTCAAATTTAAATAAAGAAATGCCTAATTAAAGTAAAAAGTGTCATTAAAGTAGAAAGTGCAAAATTAAAGTAGAAAGTGCCAAATTAAAGTAAAAAGTTCGAAATTAAAGTAGAAATTGCTAAATTAAAACAAAAAAATGCCAAATTAAAGTGAAAATTACCAAATTAAAATAAAAAAAAGTAATTTATAATTTCTGAAAGTCTTTAACCTATGTTAATTTATTTGTTTTTAGGCTGCAAACAGTTGTTTTATTATGTTAATTATAAATTAATTAGAAAAGAAAACAATTCAAGCTAAAACTATTTACCTGTTTTGCAGATCAGAAGTAATTGAGGTAATAATTGCCCATTTGCAAGGTAGTGCCCAATGCGGTAGTGGTGTAGTGGTAAGAGCGCTCGCTTTGTAAGCAAGAGGTTCGGAGTTCCACTCCCACCACGTCCCTGGAAGTACCGCGCTCAACTTAATTTCTCCGCGCAACGGCCTTGCTTGTCAAGGTTCGTGTTTCGGAGTTAAAGAGTTGAGAGAGTTTGTACCATGATTTACAAAAAAAAAAAAAAAAAAAAAAAAAAAAAAAAAAAAATTAGTAGCCTCCTTGACTGTAGTGGCCTCCTCGAGCCTTAGGGAGGTGAATAATTAAAAAAAAAAAAAAAAAAAAAAATTTGCAAAACATACTAAGTCACAAAAATAAAAATTTTGAGTTGATTCCATTTCCGCATTCTATATACTGAAATCTATAATCTATTTTAAAATTAGACCAATTAAAAATTTTTAATTGGTCTAATTTTAATTCATTTTATTTAAATTTTTAAATTTTTTTGGTTCTAAAAATGGACAAAGAAAATATCAATTCCTGTTGATTCGCAACTCAGAGTAGTTAAATTTTTTGTTGTTTTCTTAATATTTTATAATATTTTATTTTAATATTTTATAATATTAAACTGAATAAAATATTGCATAGATACAAAAATCGTAATGCATTAAACGCTATGCATATAAAAATTTGGTGAAAGTTTACTGAAAGTTACTGGTTCAAAAAAGATGATTTCATATTAGCTGATCAATGTTGATCTACAATTTTTAAACAATGTTGATCAGCAACTTTTGAAAAATGTTAGTCTGCAACTTTTAAACAATGTTTGTCTGCAACTTTTAAACAATGTTTGTCTGCAACTTTTAAACAATGTTTGTCTGCAACTTTTAAACAATGTTTGTCTGCAACTTTTGAACAATGTTGATCTGCAACTTTTGAACAATTATTTTATTACTTATGACATTTAATTGTTTATGACATTTTATTTTTTATAATATTCTCTTTTGAAAATGGCTAAAATTTAATTTTAATTAATTTTAGTTTTATTTTAGTTGTGATTATTCAATAGAATTTTTACTATCAAAGTGGAGTTTGTATGGAAGACTTCTTAATGTGAATGAATTGAATGAGAATTCTGATTACATGGGTGGTTTAAGTATAAATCATGAGTTATATATTTATGAAATACGTGCAAAATGTTTTTCAAAATAATATTTTTACATTTGTTTTAGTTTATAGTTTGTTATAGTGGATTACTTATTTTAAAACATTGTATAATAATGAAAATAACTTATAAGTAATTTGATGGTACTGTATTTTTATTAAAAGTTATTTATTTATATAATTATGCTTAGTTATGCGTTTTTCTTTTTTTTTATTCTTTTCTTAAACCTTAAAAATTATTTTGCTCATTAGATTAATTATTATTTTTACAAATTGCTAATATATATATATATATATATATATATATATATATATATATATATATATATATACATACATACATACATACATACATACATACATACATACATACATACATACATACATACATACATACATACATGCATATATACATGAATACATGTATATATATATTTATATATATATATATATATATATATATATATATATATATGCATATATATATATATACATATATATATATATACAACCCTCGGAATTAGGAAAAATGAGGTCGGCAATAATTTGCCGACCTCAATCTTTTAGAAGTCAGCATCAGGTCGGCAAAAAAAAAATTGATACAAAGGTCTTACCATAAAACATAGAAAAGAGGTAAATTTATATATATATATATATATATATATATATATATATATATATATTTATTTATTGTACTTTTTCTATTATAATTTATTTGTTGTTATCTATAGCCAAATGAAAAAGTAATATACACCTGAATTGTGTTTACTTAATTTGGCTATAATTGGCTAATTTCATTTGGCTATAGATAACTACAGAAAAAATACATTATAATAGAAAAAGTACAATAAATGTATAAATAAATATATATATATATATATATATATATATATATATATATATATATATATATATATATATATATACATATACACACATACATATATATTTATATATATGTATATATATATATATATTTATATATATATATATATATATATGTATATAAATAGATATAGATATATATATACACATACATATATATTTATATATATGTATATATATATATATATATATACATATATATACATATTTATACATATATATATTTATATATATATATGTATATATATATATATATATATATATATATATATATATATATATATATATATATATATATATATATATATATAAATATATATATATATATATTTTTATTTGTTGTACTTTTTCTATTATAATGTAATTTTTCTGTAGTTATCTATAGCCAAATGAACAAGTAATATACACCTGAATTGTGTTTACTTAATTATAAAATTTTGTTTGTTTGGAAAATGAGCAAGTTAGATACATCTGAAGCACAAAAAATATTTGAAACTTTTCTTGAAAAATACCATGAAGAAGATGTTCTTCGTATTTTGCTATCAACCAATAAAACAGAGCATTTCTCTATCATTGTTAATGCGTTTGAAATGTTTGATGCAAATATGGACATTTCATATCAGTTTTTAAAAAATCCTTCTTTGCTTCTCCCTACATTTGACAGTGCTGTTTGCAGTGTTCAGCTTCAAGTTATGTCAAAATATGGAACGTTGAATAAAACATCTATGAGCATAAAAAACAATTGTCATATTAGGGTTACAAATCTCCCTATCTGCCCTGAATTGTCACGTGATCACTTGCCAAAATGCGAAGATGTTGGTAGTTTTTTATCTGTAAAAGGTTTTTACTTTTAAAATACTGTTAGTTTTTTGTTTTATTAATATAATATACTAAAATAATAAATAAAAATTAAAAGAAATTCAAAAGCATTAAAAAAATTTTTCTTTCAATTTAATTTAGACAACCTGCCAGTTCTAAAACTATTAATTAAGGTTTGTACACTCCACTGCTCCTATGGCTAAATAAATAAGTTGATGTATGTGCACTCTGCTGCATCTACAACTATGTAAATCAGTCAATATATATATATATATATATATATATATATATATATATATATATATATATATATATATATATATATATATATATATATATATATATATATATATATATATATATATATATATATACTTATGTATAATTAAATGTACTTAAAAACTTAAAGCAGAAGTAAAAAAATGGAAAAAAATTATTTTTTTTATGTTTTTTTTATAATTAATATTTTTACACATATTTTTATAAAACTTAATTACTATTTTTTAAACCTATAAAATTTCTTTTGAATACCAAGTTGACATACTTTTGAATGTTTTTTTTTTTTTATTAGGGACCAATTGTATTTTTATTTGTATATATTTTTATTTTTATCTGTATTAAACATACATTGAATGATATAGCCATAGGTGCAGTGGAGTGTACATACATACAAATGCTTCCTAAACAAGCAGTTTTGAGTTCCATCCCCATCATGCCCTTTGTAGTTTTTCATTCAACCTGTTTTTTCATCAAACGGCCTGGATGAAAAAACAAGTTTTAATCCGGCTAAATGACTTTATTGACATCTGTGAATTTTTTTTACTGCATTTACATGTAGTAGGTAAATAGAGTGTATATTTATTGACTGCGGGTTTTTGTTAAGGCAGGCAATCTTTAAACTAAAAGTATGTTTTTAATTTTATTCTAATCTTGTTTTTAAATGTTCAAAATAACATTTTATGTTAGAATATCAATTAGTTTCATAATCTTATTGTTGTTTTATACATTGCAGTTAAAAACTGTTGTGTTTTTGAAAAAAATTATAAACATATTTTATGTTAGTTGATTTTTTCTTTTTTTAATTAAACTAGAATATTTTTTTATGTTTTGTGATGCATGCAATTATTATTTTTAAGTAATTAATTTTAATAATTAAACATAAGATTTTACTTATAACAAAAGTTAATTGTAATACGAAAAATAAAATTGTTTCAAAATATAAAAGTTATATATACCCAGCCATATTTATTTCATTTACTCTGTATATATTATTGTTTTACATTAATATTTAGGAACAGTGATTCGTTGCACTTTAACAAAGTTACTTGAGTATCAGCGACAATATATTTGCAATAAGTGTCATCACGTTTTTGATTTATCTGCTGAGTTTGAGCAAAACTATACTATTCCTTTACCAACTCTGTGTCCTTCACCAGAAAGTTGCAATTCTAAGAAATTTACTGCATTAACAAAAACAAAAAAATGCAAAGATTATCAAGAAATTAAAATCCAAGAGCAAGTAATACATTTTTTTCAAAAGTAATACTTTTTAACATAAATTGAGAAAAAACACAAATCAAAATAAAATATAAGTAAAATTTTTAATGAAATGTAATTTAAAATTAATTTTTATTTAAAGAAAATAAGTTTTAAATTTTAAATTTTCTTTTTAATCTTGGTTATTTTTAAATAATAACTTTAACAACATGTTTTAAGATAACATTTAAATTAGGGTTCCCTGGGATCCCAGGGATAAAAGTATCTGCGGGATTTCCCGGGATATCACTCTTATATTTTGGAATATAATTTTTTTTACATAAGATAACTGTTTAAACTAATTAGACCAAAAATAAGAAAAATATTATTGCATATATTGAAACTATCTAACTCAAGGAACGCACTGCAATGCGATGTTTTTGTTATTATAAAATGAGTAAAAAATAAAAAAGATTTCTTGCAACAAAAACAGAAAGTTTGATTTTTAAATTATTCTTAACTTAGTATCAATGCTTATGAGTGGTTGATTTTTAAAAACTTCAAAATTATTGAAAACTTTTTCTGCATTGAATTATTAAAATATTTAATAATTTTTGTATTTAAAAAACGACAAACAAAGACATCCAAAGTCATACCTAAGATAACATACATATGTAATATTTGTAAGTTTACTTTTAGTTGTTTTACGATTCAATTTTGTTATGCCATGTCAATTTTTTAAATATAGATAGAAAGCATAGCAGTATTTTTGTAAAGAAAAATCTGGCAAATCTGCAATTTGCAAATAGTTCAATGTAAAGATAATTTGCAAAGGATTTTCGACAAGTGGGCTCCAACGTCATTTAAAAAATGCACATAAAGATTTAGATTTAAATATGAAGCGTCTACATGAAGATACTGGTTCGGAAATTAAAATTGTGCAAAAGAAAATCATGCTGTTTGTTAAACAGCCGACTATCAAGGAAATTGTGTCAAAGCTAGCCAAGGTGAATAAATTTATTAGAAAATCATTGTCTGAAAAAGGCATGTTATTACCAAAAAATCCATCCCATGTTATGGATATGATAAAAAAACAATATGATTTAGCTAAACAAACTGTGGTTTTAGAGATAGCAAAAGAAATATCTAGTGGGTCGTGATTTTCTTTATCCTAAGACGAATATAATATTGGAAACTGGGAGTGATTCGTATAAATGTCAGATTTCAATTTATCTATTAAAAAGCACATCACAGCTAGTGTCACTGACAGAGCATCGGTAATAAAAAAATTTTGACGGCTAAGTGATATTGAACATCATCTGTGTTATGCCCACGGACTTCATTTGGCAGTATGTGATGTTCTTTACAAAAAGTCAGACTCTTCAGCAAAATATATTGAATTTGAATCGCAGTTTCAATATTCGGATGAAAATTTGAGTGATTTTGATGAGTTTGATGATGTATTTGGCTGTAATGATGAGTCATACAGCTCAACAGGCGTTGCCCTTATTTACAATTCAGAAAGTTCGAAAAGTGGTTTGAATGTTTCGCAAATCACTTCTTAAAAATGAAGTTTTACAAATGTACAAAAAATCTATGCTTCATTATAACTTTATGCTGATATTAGATGTCAAAACATGGTGGAATAGCCTTGTTGCAATGCTAGAAAGATTCCTTAAAATGTATACTAAAAGTAATGATTGAAGTATTTTGACACTTAAACAAAAATTGGATGGGACTATTTGTAATGTCAAACAATCAGAAAAAGCAGCTCAAGAAAACATTAGCGATTTAAAAAACCTCACAAAAGAAATCAAACTTTTTGAGGTAATTGGAAAGCGTAGCGAAAATTTGATGGGACTATTTGTAATGTCAAACAATCAGAAAAAGCAGCTCAAGAAAACATTAGCGATTTAAAAAACCTCACAAAAGAAATCAAACTTTTTGAGGTAATTGGAAAGCGTAGCGAAAGTTTAGAAAGAATATACTCAACATTAATAATCATCAAGCTGACATTAATTGAATCAGAAAAAGCTTTTTCTGCCGCGGGTCTATATATAGGGAAAAATTTGTTCATGGTTTAGTGACAAATCAATTGATTGTTTATGTTTTTTAAAACAATATTTTATTTTAAATAGTAATATAGATTAGTCAGAAATTTGTGTCAGAAACTGCTTGTTATTATATTAAAAATTATGCCGGGAAATCCCGGGATAAATAAGTTACACACTGGAAATCCCGGGATACTGAAGTTACGGGATGATGAGAAACCCTAATTTAAATATGTAGTTCTATTTTCAGATTCTCAGATTTTCTTAGGATATTTTTTCAATGATCCAGTGAAACCAGAATGATAGAGCTTCTTAGAAAGTTTTCAAATAAAAAAAAATCAAATACTCTTATATGGAAATATTTTTATATTGAGCTTAAGATTCTTATGATTCCTCTGTTCCTTTATAGAAAACAAAGTGTACTTAATAGAAAACACAATCTACAATACACACTTTAAGTACTATTGTTTACTGATTATCAGTAAAATAATGCCTTTAAAAAAATAATGCCTTTAAAACTATCAGTGATAGTTTTAAAGGGATTATTTTTTTACTGGTAGTTCTTAATTGATACTCAGTATTTTTTCAAATTGGTTTTGAACCTTGCTTAGTTGGCACTCAATCTTTAAAATCATTAAATTTATTCATTATATAAACCAGCTGTATTTATTTCAGCTATATAATTTTAACTAGGTTTATTCACCTAGTTAAAATTAAATGTTTGATTTAAATTTTTACTTTTTTGATTAAGGTACAAAATTTACATTTTGGCCACATTCCTCGTTCTATCTGGGTTTTATTAGAAGATGACCTTGTTGACTCTTGTAAACCAGGAGATGATGTAACAATTACAGGAATAGTTTTACAAAGATGGAAAAGTCTTTATAAAGATGTTAGTTAAATGTTTTTTTATTTATTCAAAAGTATATCTTCTTCATAAACAAAAAATAATTTTCCAACTTTTTTAGAATAAATGTGATGTAGAGCTTGTTCTAAAAGCAAACCATGTTGTTATTGATAATATTCAACATTGTTCCAGTTCAATGAATGACCAGCATCAGAAAGAATTTCATGAGTTTTGGTCTTTGTACCAATCATCACCATTAAGAGGGCGCAATGAAATCCTTAGATCTTTTTGTCCTCAGGTTTATGGCCTATATCTTGTAAAATTAACTGTTGCATTAGTATTAGTTGGTGGAGTTCAACGACTAAAAAAGTCTGGAACTAAAATACGTGGAGAATCTCATTTGTTGTTGGTTGGTGATCCAGGTAAATTGTATGCAATTTAATAAATGTTTGTTATACAAATTGCTGATTTTTAAAATAAATAATAATAATAAAAAAAATATATTTATTTTAAAATTGAAAAAAAAAAAAAGTTTAAGACTTATAACTGTAAAGATAAATATGATTGTGTGATTTATGCCATTTATTATGAAAATAGTAAATATGTATGTATGTATGTATGTATGTATGTATGTATGTATGTATGTATGTATGTATGTATGTATGTATGTATGTATTTATGTATGTATGTATATATGTATGCATATATATATATATGTATGGATATAAATAAATATGTATATATATATATATATATATATATTATATATATATATATATATGTATATATATATGTATATATGTATATATGTATATATATATATATATGTATATATATATATATATATATATATATATATATATATATATATATATATATATATATATATATATATATATATATATATATATATATATATATATATATTATTTGAAGAAGAAAAATTAGATAAAAAATTAGTGTTTTTACTAATTTATTTATTATTGTTCTGTTTTTTAAGAATGCGTCCAAAATTTCTATTCAGTACAAAATAAGTAATTATCTTTATAAATACGACAAATTTTTTAAACTTTTTTCTTTAAAACCATGTTTAATAAAATTAATACATGTTTTAACTTTAAGTCATCTTCAGTTGAAATTTACATTTTATTATGCAAAAATGTTACAAAATAAAGATATAAGAAACACAAAAGGCACAAATTCATAAAAGACAATAAAAAAAATCCAAAATACAGTTATAGAACCATTAACAAATCTGACAATACCCGGTGAATCAGATAGGAAAGCAATAAAAGACAATATACAAGCAGTATATATATATATATATATATATATATATATATATATATATATATATATATATATATATATATATATATATATATATATATATATATATATATATATATATATATATATATATATATATATATATATACAATGCTAAATATAATTAAACAGAAAGAGTCAATTTAACATGAATAATCTGATTGTTCATATTTGTTATTTGCCATTTTATATACATAATTTTCTTTAATTTGAATTGAAATTTATTCGTAGAAGAATTTAATATAGAAAAATATTTATCGTAATATGTAACAGTAATTTTCATCAGCATGGAGATGGTTGAATATATGCGAGTTTTTGTTTCTTCAAATTAAAATCTCTAATTTTAAATGAAGTGAAAACTTTATGGAGATTTACAATGTCTTTATAATATGATTCTCTTTTTAGTTTTCTTTACTTTTTAACTTCTAAGTAGTTAAGTCTGATAATTTTTCAATATAAGTTTGAAATAGTTTATTAATAGTTGATCTTTTGATTTAGCTTGATTAGTATTAGAAGTTTTTTCCATATCAGAGTTCTTAACTTTACTTATTAACCAAAATGGATACATATTTTTCTTTAAAAATTAAAAAAGTTTGTTTATCAGATAAAAGGCCATGTTTAGTGTTATTAATTTTAAACGTTCTGTCATTTAAGCATCTAATATTTTTAGATGCTTAAATGAAATTTAAGCATCTAATATTTTTAGTATTAATTTCCAATGAAAAGTTAAAGTTTGTACGGAAGGTTTTGGTTTATATAAGTTAATGTCCAATAAAGAAATTTTGATTATTTCTTTTTCTACGTGAACATTTTCTTTGTAGTTGAGCTGTCTACCATTGATGAAATGGAAAAAGGAGAAAGATTTCTAAAGGAAAAGAAAAGTATCATCTATGTATCTTTGGTAAAATGTTGATTTTGTGCTTATTGGTTTTCAACCATTTTTTTTCAAAAACACCCATGAATAAATTAGCAAGAACAGGAGCTAATAGGGATCCTATGGCAACACCATCAATTTGGTTGTAGGTTTTCCCTTGAAAAAGGAAATTAGTTTGAGGCATAGCAAAAATAAATAGTTTTTCAAAATCTAATTTGTTATTTTAAGATTTGTTTTACTATCTAGAATGAGGTTAACAGCTATGTCAATGGTTTCTTGGAAAAGTATGTTTGTCAATAAATTTGTTATATCGTAAAAAACTCAAAATTGTTTGTGGATATTAGATTGGATAATATCTTTAGCAATAAAAAAAGAGTATTTGGTGCAGAACTCTGAAGGTATCAGTGGAGATAAAAGGTCACTTGAAAATTTGGCAAGTTGATAATTATACATTTTAATTGATATGACAATAGATCTAAAATTTAATGGATTATCAGAAGAATTGAATTTGTACATTTTTGGAAGCCCATAGATAAGAGCAGAATGCTCTTTACATTTTACAAAAATCTTTTTCAATTTTTGCAAAAAATTCTGTAGTTGTGATTCTCTGCTTTTTGAATGAGTGAATTAGAGTCTTTTTGAAGTAATTTAAATTTAGTCATTTATTATTTTGAAAATTCTTTTGTCACATACTTTTTTGTCTAATATAACCACACCATTTCGTTTTTCTGATAAGATAATAATATCTATGCTGTTTTTACGTTTTAAATTTCGTGTTTTTTTCAAGTTTCTTTAAAAGAGCTACATATGTATTTAAAATAGTTACATATGTAGGATTTAGCCAGAAGCGAAAATTCTATTTTGAATTTGTCTGAATCTTCAGTGCTCCTCAAATTAGCTTGGAGACAGCAGTTTATAGGTTCAAAATGTTTTTGTTCAAATGGAATAGAAAATTATTAAAGTTATAAAAGAATTTGTAACCCAACTGAGTATGAAACAAATTTTTTGTTTAATAGAATAACTAATTATTGAAAATTTTTTTTTATTTATATGTTATACTAAAAGAAAGATTTATTTTTCAAATGTTTAATTGATCCAAGTTAAACAACATTTTTTGATTGAAAGTGAGGAAAAGTGAAAAACTTATCCTTAATTTTTTGTCATGGTATAATTGTATTTAACTTGTTTTTATCTACTAATGGCGTTCCACCATTTTATCACAATGAATATGCTCACAAAAGTTATGTGTAGAAATTAATTTACAGAACTAAAGTATGTGAAATATTTAAAAAATTATTTAGTTTCTAGATCAACCCATTTTTAAAACATCTATTAGTCGACCATTTTTAAAACATCTATTAACGACTATTAGTCCCTGAATCTTTTCACATTAGGTTTAAGTAGAGTTCTTTTGGCCTAATAATCTAAAAATGTTTATATAAAATAATCTAAAAATATTTATATAAAATAATCTAAAAATGTTTATATAAAATAATCTAAAAATATTTATATAAAATAATCTAAAAATGTTTATATTAAATAATCTAAAAATCTTCTTATTAAATATTTTTTATTTTATTTCAAAAGTATAGGTTTTAAGATTATTTTTGATAAGTGAAAATAATTAAAATTCAGCTTAATTTTTTAAAATCAGTGCAATTATTGGAAATTCAAGGAAGGATTGAATTATTGTGTTAAAAGTTTTGTAAGTTTAATATCATCTCTTGCTACTCAAGATTTTATACAAATACAAGGGCATCACAATAAACATACCAGCTCAGATGAAATCCTTGAGAAACCCTTGCCATCTACTTCTCAAGCAGTAAGTACTGGAACTACTACAAGAAAAGAAAGGAAAAACTTTATCACACTTTGTACGGGCTTTAATGGATGTCAACTAAGTATTAGGGATTCTGTTTATATACTTCAGACTGCAGCACTAGATCTTAGCTGCGATAAACAATAAACAAATTGTCGATTCAACACAATAACACACAAAGTAGAAATGATAGAGGAATTGATAAATGATAGAGTGGAGAGAGGGTTGTAACCACATAGGTAGCCTCCTCAACTGCAATGGCTTTCCTATATATATACACACACACACATATATATATATATATATATATATATATATATATATATATATATATATATATATATATATATATATATATATATAATATAACCAAATTTAAACCTTGCCGTAACCCTAACCCTAAGCCTGACTTTGATGCCTGGCCAAACCAAACCCTTACTCGATGTAGCAGCACTCCCTTGCTAGTCAGGCTATTTGTCAGTTGATGTATGTACTTTTCGTTCTCTATTAAAGTTTCTTACGGGTACATTTTTTTACAAAAAAATCAAGCTTACGAGGAGAAAAAATTAACAGGTACACCAAAATGTCCCTAATAATGATAATCTCCCTGTAAAAGTTCGTTTTTTTGTAAAATCTGTCCCTGTAAGTGCTAAACTATATATATATATATATATATATATATATATATATATATATATATATATATATATATATATATATATATATATATATATATATATATATATATATATATATATATATATATATATATATATCAGGCCTTGTGATGAATAAAAACTGCGCGGCGCATAAGCACAACGTGATTTTTGACGTCATTAAATTCTTTTTATTTGCTTTTTATATTTATCGACATTAACTGCACCAATTTACTTAATTACCACAAAACTACTTTAAATCGTTAATGTAGAAATGTTATTATTTAAAAATGTTTTGGAATGTTTCGTTTTTTAAAATGTAAAAACATTTGTTTATTTTCTCGATGTTTGACAGGTTTTGTCTACACTAAACGAATAAAAAACCTTTTAACTAAACATTTTAAAAAGATTATAAAATATGCTAATATTTGATTTTTTTTTTCTCAAATATGTAATTTTAAGTTTTTCAAATAATTATTTTTTCTTTTTAAAAAGTCAGCGAGTAATAAACTGGAAATTTTAATATTGTACGATTAAAAACTGTGCAATAGCTAATATTTTTACCAGCGATTTTATATAATATTTTTTAATTTATTTATTTTCATAAAGCGGTTGATAAGCACAATCACTTGTATTACTAAAAAACTTCAACGAACAATTTAAATAGATTTTTAGTGTTTACAAGGAATTTTATTTCTAGTAAAATAAGTAAAAGAGTTTCGGTAACTTTTAACAAAAATTATT